GGTACTCCAAATACATTCAACAATCAACAACTGCCTAATGCAACAGGGCTTGATCCATTCACTATTGTATCTACGGAGTAGTTTCTGCATCTGTATTCTGCATGTGAATATACCGATTTACTCCACTATGAAAAGCATCACCGTAACGCTTGCTGTTGGTGTTGGCAAACATCATCCACTCACTCATCTACCCCATCGTCGTCTCAACCGCCCAGCTGGCACACATATTATATACGAAGCCATAACAAAGACCAGACCCCTATTCATTATTTAAAAATACACTGTACTGCACTCCAGCCCTATCAGTTCAGAATCATAAGCTGTCAAATATGCATTGTTCCTGTCTATCTTTTCCGATGGTTTCTGTAATGTAAATGTGATTTTTGCGGTGATGAATTTATTTTTATACTATTCTTATTTAATTGACATACATATTGAAGTACTAATTTTGCTATGGTAACGGACACCGCCGCTTCGGATTACCGGTATTGGTATAATGATACTTTACTAAAACCAAATGCACATGCAACTTTTAGAGTTAGAGGTTAAAGGTTAGAAGTTAGGATTATGATACCTTAGTTTTGAAAATGATATGAAAAGAAACAAGGACTCTTCTTGTGGTTGATTGCAGAACATATAATTCTCACTTCAGTAATTGACTAGGGGCCAGTCACTTCCTTTCTTACCAACTCCAACCCTAATACTAGTGTGATAGGACAGGACAGGATAGGGACAGAACAGAACAGTAACAGAAAATAATAATCAAACATTCAAACAGAATAATAACGAACTCAGGTCCTTATCCCATGCATTCATCTATTAATCTATTGATTCATTCATTGACTTTATATATCGGTACATGATACTCGAGTACATTATACGCAAACGCCGACCCCTCTTTAAAAATAATAAGCGCGCTGCCAATACACACTTTCATATCAATATTAAATAATCAACCAATGACAATTACATTAGGACACCACTTTTCTATATATGTGTATTGTACTTAGAGATACTATTGATACTCACCGCTGTATACTTACATGTACCGGTATAATACAGATAGATACAAAACCGAGTATACTTTTGCGTATTATATTTAAGTATAAAGATTGGTTAATTAATCTTGCAATATAATACTCGTCTTATTTCAGCCTATACCAGTATCCCCATCTCCAAAACAAAGCCCTCTATACCCTCTACCCTCTATGCCCTCCATCACCTCAATTCAGAATATTTGAATATAAGATATTTATATAAAAACCCAATTTTCTAGGTCAAATACCAAAGAAATTCGAATTTTGAATTATATCAAAGGAAGAGTATATCTTTATAGACATGGAAAAAATAAAGATTTATCAGAGGACACCACAACCCTCGCCACTACTGTACAACCACTACAACCACTACTCCATACATGTACAACCAACCTTCAACTTTCACCAAGAGCCAAGCATTACAGCTGAAAACCATCCACTAGGTACTCTTCTCTTCACCCTTCCTATTCGAATTCTTTCTACCCATCACTTTCACGTTTCACATTTCATGCATACAGACAGTAACCTTAAGATTTACGCGCCGTGCCGTTGATATAGTCTTACATCCTACAGTAAATACATCCTATTGTTTTATGTGCCATAGCATAGCCGAGTTGCAGGCATTGAGTAAGGTTAACCTTAACCTACTGTAGGTCACAAGATACTATTGATGCACATACGAGTATCGATACTGTATATATAAAATTTCGGAGCCTCGGTTGGGGCTGAGATAGGTAGGTAGATACAGTGCAATTGGAAGTAGGATTGGGATTGGGATTGGGAAGAGCTTTATGGGGATATGTATATGGATGGATAGACAAGATAAGTGAGACTGGCAAAATAGACAAGATATCTAGACAAGAACAGGCAAGATAGAGATAGGTTGTCACCCCATCTACTCGTATTTGAATTGATTTACCAGGAGCGCTGCGCCTCCCGGTACCCTCCCGCCCTCTGCCTTCCTGATTTTCTAAAATTATTATTAATTTATTTAATTATATATAATATTTTTGTTGGAAGTGCAGTACAGAGTCACACAATGTCACGTGATACAGCTCACATGACATCGTCTATATGCTCGTGCCTCACGCACTTATACATATATCCAATACTACTAGAATACCTCTAAGGATACACATACAATATTACTACTATTATACCTATTATGATCTTAGTGATATTCCAATAATTTTATTAATATTTTATTAATATTTCGGAATTTATAATAATTTTAGAAAAGACACACACTTAAAGTCGGCGTAGTAGTTATTCGAAAATACTATATTTTATTATTAGTATTATTATTATTATTATATATAATAATAATCTAAAAAGTTCTAAAAAGCTAAGTCGATTATGCCTCAGGCATAATTATTAAGCATTTATTCCCACTCCACATTATTACTAATATTATTATAATTTTATTAATAATTTCGATAATATCTATCTTAATATTAGACTTACTTTAATAATAATTATATATTCTAAAAGCCCTTAATCGCTTTAATCTAATTATCAAAATTATTATTATTTTATTCAATTAACTAAGATTCTATATTGAATTGAAAGCTTTTTGAAATATTATTTGATATCAGAATACCAAGCTTTTTGTTACACCCAACTTACCACCAATCAGATCATCAGAATCACAACTCATTTTAAGCGAACAACATTTTTTCAGTCTACTACAGCTTGCACTCACGTGCAGCAAGAATATTGTGGAGGCTACGCCTCCAATAATATGCATTCAAATTCTTCATACCTCTAACTCTATTATATTTTTCTAAATACCGGTAGGAGTTTAATTTCTGTATCAGAGTTGATACTGTGTAGTAAGGCAGATGCAATAGATTATTAGTGGCGTAATGATGTATTACCATTACTGAACACCGAACGTGGGGAAAAAAAGGGGTGCGTGACCGATTGATTACATTACCCCTCGGAATAGAACTGAGTACAAATAATGCAATGTAATATAATGTAATCTGTAATCCGGAGATTCTTTCTCCTTCAATTTATTTTCGGGGTTGATGGTGGCTTACTTCTTACTTTGCATCTTACTTTGCATCTTACATCTTACATCTTTAATCTTCAATCATGTGCTCGCTCCTTCCCTCCCTCCTATTCTGTTCCGAATATCCGTTCGTTTCGTTTCGTTTCGCTTCGCTTCGCGTCGCTTCCTTTCATTTCTGCCCTGCCCTGTCTTGCCCCTGTCACCCACCAACTGTTCTACTACATCACTGGCATTACAACTCTTCCAATTACCCCACGCTATCACAATCTCATCTCATCATCTCATCTCATCTCATCTCATCACATCACATCACATCACATCATATCATATCATCCTTCTTCAACAATCCCATACCAACAATCCCAAGATAAAATACCTAAATATAATCACTATATACATACATACTCTAAACCCTAATCCCCACCCCCATCCCCCATCCAAGCTGACCATCATCTCTGACATTTCGCTGACGCTCCCTAAATCAAGTAAATTAGTTAACTAGGACGGCAAACACCCATCTCACACATCATTATCACCGTTTACAAGCCACAAACCACAAACCACAAACCACCTAGCAAACCAACCCAAACCAACCCAACCTAACCCCAAATATTTGCGTCATCCATCCATTCCATCCCATCGCATACCATGCGCACCCATCACACACAATCATCCACCCACCCACGGTACGGACCCTTCCACACCCCTTCCATTACATCATCCTCATCCTCATCCTCATTTACCCCATCCCACCATCCACACCCATACCATCCACAACCTATAAATACCTCTCCACTCCATCCCTCCATCCCTCCCTATAGAAAGAACCACGCGATCATAAAATTACCCCTGAATTCGCTTCAAGTTGTTGCACATTCATTACATCAGATTATATACGAGCGAGAGCCATCCATCTCAGCAATCAGGTATTCATTCTATTTGCTGACCACCCACTGGCATCATGATTCTTCATTATTTATTTATTCGTTTTGTTCAAGTTTTGTTGGTGATGATATTCGTGATAGTGATGGTTATACTATATAGTAATAGTAATAGTAATACTCGAGTAGTAGTGATTCAAGTGATGAGTAATAATACTACTTACTAGTAGTACTCAGCGGGATTCTAGTAGAAGACGTATTATATACTAAATCAAAATGAAATTATTATTAATTTAATTATAAATTTAATATTTTATCTACTAATTAGTTGAAGTTTGTTTATTTATAAGTTATTTTCTAATTTAAAAAAAAATGAAAATATCACATCTTTTCACTAGCATCTACTAATAATAAGATTAAAACTACTAATAATTATAAACTAAAATAAAATAAAAGAGATTAACTAGTAAATAAAAAATAAAATATTTATAATATACTTTTAAATACTAGTATAAGAATGAATTAGAAATATAATAAAAATAACTTTTAAGTTTTCTTTTAAATCAGATAATTTATTTAAGTTTTTAATTACCAAAAAAAAAATTCAATTTTTTTTAACAAAAAATTATCAAATTGAAATAATATTCAAAAATAAATATCAATATTAAGAAATTACTACGCCTGAGAGATTGGATTAAATTTTCAATTTATATTTTATTATATAAAAGATTTCTATTATAGAAAATCCATTTTTAATAAATCTTAATTAAAATCTTATTATAAAATATAATATATAATAAATTGATTACAAATTTTTCTAACCTTATATAATATGACCAAAAGGGTATAAACAGGACTCCGATTGTATACTTAGAATCTACAAGTAAAGGGCTATTATTATATAGAGTGCTAAAAGGAGAACTATATATACAAGGTATTTGAGAGCCATAAGGGTTAGATTCAAAGGAGTGAAAGAGTCCTAGAGATAAGTATTGTATGATGCCTAGGTCTAGAGCTATAGAGCTAGGGCTTTAAGCTGTGAAAGGAAGGTTCAAGAGAGCTGTTATATTATGCTACGTATGTAGTATAAGCCAGTGGACGGAAGAGAGCCGTCTGTTCTGTTATATATAATAAACCCGAAATCTTTTCTACAGAATTCTCTTCTTCTTCTTCTTCCTCTCCCCTCTTTCCCCCTCCCATTCCTTTTTCCTCTTTCTCCCTCCCATTCCTCTTTCCTCCCTCACCCTCACCCTCTCTCCCATTCTTCTTTTCTCCTTCTCCATCCCCATCCTCATCTCCATCTTTATATCCCCTCTCCCCTCTCCCCTCTCCTTTCTCCTTTCTCCTTTCTACCTTCTCCTCTCTCCTTACTACTCCATACTCCATCCCCCACCCACACTTCTCATTTACACTTCTCATTACTATCATTCACACTTCTCATTCTCAATATCATTCCCAAACCCCAAACCCCCCATCAAATACCCCTTTCTCTTTACTATATCATAAATCATAAATCAAATATCAAATATTAAATATCTATCTGTCCATCCATCTATCCATCCATCCATCCATCTATCCATCTATCCATCCCCTCCCTTCAAGTTTCTTACTTATCATAATCTCACTTACTTTATCTCATTTACTTTATCTCACTTACCACTTCTTACTTCTCATTTATCACATATCTTCAATTACTATTCTACTCGTAAATAGCACATTCCATCCAGTCTATTTCACATCCAATCCAATCCATCTCATCTCATCCAATCCATGTCGCCTAATCCTTTTTCTCCCCTTTTCTCTTCTTTCCCTTCCCCCTCCCCTTCCCCCCCTCTTCATTCTTTTATATCTACCTCCAACCCCCCTCACCTCCTTTCCCTTTAACCCTTTCCCTCCCTTCCCCTCTTTCCCCTCACCTCTTCACCTCCTCACCTCCTCACCTCCTCGCCTCCTCACCTCCACCCCACCTCTTTCCCCTCATCTCCTTATCTCTTTTCTCACCTATCCTATCCCATCCTATCCCATCCCATTCTTTTCTCCCTTCCTCCTATCCCTTTTTTTCCCCTTCTTTTTTAATTCCCACATTCCCACATTCTCTCTCTCTTCCCACAATCTCCCTCCATTCCCCACTGGCATTATCCCCTTATCACCTTATCTCCTAACTTACTACCCCCTCCTTATTATCTTACCTTACTACCTTACTATACTATTAATTCCCCTTCCCTTGCTTAATCTTCATCTTCATCTCTATATTTGTCACATCTACTCGAGGACTCGAATAATCAATTCAAACCAATTCACATCACATCACTCCACTCCAAAAACAAACAAATATAATTTCAAACTTTGAATTTCAAATTTTTGATTAACAACTAATTCCACCCCATCTCCGCACTCAATTCCCTCCTTCATCCAACCCTCCTTACTAAAACTATTTCATCTTGCTTTGACTCCTTTGCTTCCTTTGCTCGCATGCATTACACACCCCACGTACCCCCAGGTCATAATATAATGTCCCATCCTATCCCCATTCCCATTCCTATCCCCTAACTTTTTATCATCCATCCACTTGCCCTTTCCTTGCCAATTCTTTCCATTCCATTTCCCCCAACCCAAATTTGTATCCTTCCTCTAGCCCATCCATCCATGATCATATACAAAGATTCAATTCAATCCTTCAATTTATGAAGAAGATCCATTGAATCTTTGTCTGAAAAAAATAATCAGAAAGGAAAAGCAAAATTAAGTGATCAAAATCCATGGTATCATCCCAACTCCAGTAAAAAGAATCTGCTAGTATGAAAAGGTAAAACAAGCAACAAATGATTCTTTTCATTCATTTTGCTTTCCCGAAAAGCTTTTGTGTAAAATGAAAAAAAAAAAAACACCGAGCCAATATTTCCCTTCCAGTTTACCCCATACCATTCTCTTTCCTTCCCCTAATTGTTAGATATTGAACTTAGCTCATACCAAAGTATGAAAGCTAAACCCAAAGAAACAAAGTATTAACGCCTTGAAATGATTTCTGTAGAAGCTTTTGGCCTGTTCTTCTCCAGTCGCTTGTGTGAATACATAAAAAGAAGAACAAAAAAAAGAAAAAAAAAGTAAAGTCCCCCCCCCATCCTGTTGTGGTAAAACAATCGCTGTAATGCAAATTGAAAAAGCAAAAAGACATTAATTCGTGCCCAAATCCTGTGCCGTGTGTGATAGTTCCGCACGTCATGTTTCTATGCCAAGAAACTCCATGACGGTGATTGCAGTTGACTGTGAAGTCATTGTAAGACTGTATATGTACCAGAATGTACTATAAGCCAAACATATAAATTGGTGTATACTGTTGATGTGATTCGATGCGCAAATAGAAAGATCCATTACATTATGCGACTGAAACGAAGTAGTATCCAGAAATCTACCATCCTTTAGAATGATACTCTCCTAACCCTTGACTGAAATATTGATTCCAGCTAGAGTTAAGAGCTTGATCATCCTTATCCATATAAACTCTCTCGGGGTATTGTTTGAGGTTTGCAACATCGTGTGCGGTGTGTCTTCGTTTAAGAGCCGCGGCAGCTTCATTGACTGATGACTTTTGTCGTCGTTCCCAAAGGAGGTTTTGGCGAAGACTCACAGTCAATTCAGTGGCGAGCATATTTCGTCGAGTAGTTCTCGGGGAGAGTGCTTGATGATGTGCGGTACTGTTGGTGGTGGTTTGAATAATAGGCTGAGCTCCACGAGGAACTTCAGCAATTGAGTTGAGTCCCCTCATCGTGAGAGGAGCTTCATCGGATTCGGGTGATGCTGCAAGGGAAGGACCACTGGGTGAGGAATTTCGGGAACGTCGAAGGGCGGGTGTCGATCGAGATGCCTCGGTGGCAAGTGCTTGAGCACGATCGTTTTGGTGAAGCATTGTAGTGATCAATGATCGTCGAGATGTAAGTTGAGGTTTTGAGTCGACTCGTTGAAAAAAGGTCTTCTCATCGATACTTGCGTTTCCACTCTCCTCTACTGAATCTTCCCAATCAGAAGAATCATCATCATCGTCAATGGCACTTTCGTCAACGTCGTCCTCATCGTCAGTTTCGAACACATCATCATCAAATGCTTCTTCTTGAATGGTTCGTGTGGCAACCTCTTCTTGAAATGAGGTTTGCTTCTTGACGAAAGGCTTTTGTAATTTGTCAGTCAATGCGCTACGTGGTTGCATTCTGTTTGGTAGCGAGCTATCATCTTCGTTTGATGATCCACCGAAGCTAAATTTAGCTAGCTTCTTCTTTTGTAATGGCGAGGGTTTGTTATCCATGGAAGCTGCTTGCTCACTAAGTGAGTCTTCACCCGAGGATCCACCCAGAGCGAACATTTGCTTCTTCTTTAGTGCGAGTGATTTGGATGTATCTGCTGCAACGATATCGGCCGTGGGAATGGAGGATGGTGCAGTGTTGAGTGGCACGGAACGCATGGAGCTGCTGACATGTGCTGGTGAAAGTGAGAACCCTTTCACAACCGAGGTAGTCGTACCCTTCTCGGAGTGACCAGCGGAGGATTCAGTGGTGGCGGATTGAGCTGATGCATTGGTTGACAAAGAGTGATGCACTGCCATGGCAGGTGATTGATATTGTGGTTGAATAAATTGTGTTATTCTCTCGGCGAGTGGCGCAAGGTAAGGTGTGGTCATGGTAAGAGGGGCCAAATCTTTCTTTTCCTTGATAGTGATGACCATCTTCTCGAGGTCGTCGGGTGTAATATGACGTTCTCGTCCTCGACTTCTGCTGTTGCAAGAATCTTGTCTTTGAATTTGAGGATGTGAGATATCGACTGAGGAACCATCGGTGCTTTCTTCGAATTCGATTGCTTCTTCGTCGGCGATTGAATCTAAGCTGCCACTTAATTCTGGAACATCATTCGAATATTGACCTTCGGAACTTCTGGAGGAGATGGAAATTGCGGGTGTGGTAGAATTTGCTTCTGAAGATGGTTCACAGCAAAAGGTTTCGCGATTCCATAATCTCCAACTCAAGTTTTCTAATCTTCTACCTTCTTCTAAAGATCCAGCACATCTAGAGAAGACTATGAAGGAACGTTAGTATATTGATTTTGAATATTGAAAAGAAGTGAAGTGAACTTACCAGTCCACATGCTGTAAAGGTTTTCGACATTTCTGGTATCAACTTTATGAATAAGGGCGGCATCAACGGTTAAGACCGGTGCATTTAATCTGGAAGGCATGATGATTATAGAGTTTGCTCGAACGCACGAGCTGTTATGAGAGTGAAGGCACGATTGGGGAGAGAAGTCGCGAAAGAATCGCGAAATCGTCGGAGGAATGTTGATTTGTTATTGATTGAACTTTTCGTATCGTATCGTATCGTGTCGTGATATTGAATTATTCGTTGTAAGTTTGTTTACAAGATATTCAAATTTTTATTTGAGTGGTAGAAAGTATTGAAGAGGTGAAGAGAATTGTTTGAATAATTGGATCGTTGAAAGGTTTTCGAAGGTGGTTGGTTGTAGGTTTAAGTTGGGGTTGGTTTGAGTGTGGAGGAGGAGAAGAAGAGAGGTTGACGGATGTGGGTGTGTGTGGGTGTGCGCTTTCGGAATAAAACGCCTTGGGTCCGTTTTAAATCGATTTTCCGGCGAACTGCAGGAATGATATTTTATAATGGATGGATAGATATACTTTGTACTGTAAAAGAAGGATCGAGATGAATCTTAAAGAATATGTGATTGTAACCAGAATTGTTACAATGAATGAATTTTGTTTGAATGTGAGGTTGAAGTTGTGAGATTATGATATCGTGAGTTGTGAGTGGTGGTGAGGCTGTGAGTTATGTTATGAGGTTGTAAGTTGTGAGTTGAGTTGAGTTGAGTTAAGTTGAATTTGAAGAGTGGCAGTGACTGATAGTAACTGGCAGTGATGATGTTATTGTTCGAGAGTGAATCTGTTGATAGACGACTTCAGTTGAGTTGAGTTTGAATTTGAGTTGAGTTGTTGGAGTTGAATAGAGTAGAGAGTAGAGTAACTGATATAGATTTAATAGGATATCATCTAGTTATTATGTTATGTGCTGGGTCGGCTCTCTTTTACACTAACTTGACTTATTTAGGTTTATAGTACCAGCAAAAAAAAAGACAAGAGGAAAAAGTGTGGATCCCTTTTTTTTTGATTATATTTATTTATTTTACTTTTGTATTTTACTTGTTTCTTTCCTTTCCTCCCTCTTCAAAGTGTCGGTGAATTAAAATCAAGTCAAGTTTATGTTTGGGTACTATAAGAAAAAGGACAGGGCTAGATTTCTGATCTCTTTTTCTTTCCTTCCCCGGTGGAGTGGATAGGGAAGGGGTTATGGTTATGCTAGGTATGGTATGGGGACCTGGGTGAGATTCGTGAGAACAATGAAGTAATAAAAAAGAGAAAAAGAGAAAAAGAGAATCTAAACTAATTAGCGTAATATTACCGATCGAGCCTTATTTTGATCATTTCCTATTCCTAGTTTTTTTATCTAAATTACTTCTTCATTTGGTTTAAGTTAACGGGCCTTTTTCGTTTGAGAAAAGGATCAACCCTAATCCTAAATTAGAGAATACGGGATTTCGTCAACTTCTCTTATTTCAAGGATCGATTCATGTGCTCACATCAATCTATAAAAGATCCTTGTTTCATTTTCTTACCCCTGGTTACCTGGTTATGAGTTTTGTTCGATCCCCTCTTTATTTTGCTATGCCATGAGGTCCAGACAAGATGGGTGGGTATAAGTAAATGGGTTAGTAGTAGATGTTTGAAAAGATGTGATGTGATGAGGCCTATGGGGGGATTGGGGAAGAGAAGAAAGAGAAAATTAGAAAATTAGGCAGGAAAGTTAGGATAGAAAGAGTAATAATAATTATGATACTAATCAAAAAGAGTATGTATTTAGTATGATTCAAAAACCTAACTGACTTATGAGGTTATCGTTACTTTAATTTTCAATCACCTGTTATAACTTTAGTTTACCTTACTTGTATCAAATCTATTGATGATATCAATTGAGTACTGAGTATATTGATCAATACAGGAATACCTAGTTCATTTGTAAAGAATCTCTTCATACTCACAATAAGGCTTCTCTCTCTCCATCCCTTCCCTTTCCCTTCCCTTTTTCTCATCACTTACAACCATACCCTATCAAATACAATACCAAGGAATGCAAACTTTCGCCTTCCTTTCGCTGCCAGAGCCAAAACATCTCGTAAATAAACAATAAACACTATCTAAAAGCATCATCACCCTTACCATTCATTACATTACCATTACCAACTACCACTACCGGTACCGGTCCATTCCATCCCATAACCGCCATAAAGTTCATGGTCATTCATGATCATGATCACAGTCATATTCATAGTCATACCCATAACCCATAAGTCAAAGATAGACATGATCATGTGGTGCAATGATCAGGTGCACATGCCAAATTCGCCTGTGTCCCGTTCGGTCCGGTTCATTGCTTTGTCTTATCTTATTTCTTTGATACACTCACTCACTCACTCACTCATCAATCACCTACCCGCCTTACCGTACCATAGTTAATCTCATCCAATGCCCTTCTCCATAATCCACTTTAAAATTTGTGGCTGTGGCATTTTTTGATTCAAATACGGGGTAATCGGTACCTAGTACCTAGTACCGGTACTGTAGTGAAATTCAATTCACAGTGGCGAGGGTACCATTATCAATCAATATCAATATATCATACTCGAGTACCGGTACCGGTATCGGTACAAAGTATATCAGGTGCAGTTATTGGTATTTATTGTGTACCTCCCTCCTACCTAGCTCAATCGCCCAAATGGGGCTCCTCCCTCCCCTCTCTTCCTTGGCCTATTAAACCCACATCCTACAATCTAACAATCTATATCCTTTACCCCTCATCCATTCATCTATTCCGTATGCCGGTATTTACCACGAGTATTGTGGAGTTATAAATCCATCCCATCTTTTATAAAAACTCCTCATGCATCCCTAACCATCTACTCTACTCTTACTCTACCGTACTCCAGTACTTTCTTTCTTTCTACTTCCTTCCTTCCTCCTCCTTCTGAAAAATATAGATAGATCTTGCTTGATGTTCACAACAGATCTTCACCCCTAACAAGCGTAGATCGTAGAGAGTAAATAGTATTAAAGTATGTACTCGTAGAATAGTGAGTCCTTGTTATGACTATGACACCAACTTCCAACATCCAACTTTCAAACTTCAAATATAAAACATCAAATATCAAACATCAAAGTTAATGATGGTGATACGGGATGGGTGATGTGATGTGATGTGATGTGATATGATATGATATGATGTTTCATGAGTTGTTCGTTCGTTCATTCGTTCGTTAGATACCTATGAAGTATCATGCTAATCACGCTGTGGTTATTTTTAAATTACATTTAGTTTAGAGGTTAGTAAGGGGAAAGGAAAGGGGGAGATCTTCGGGATCTTTGATCTTTGAAGGTGTGAGTTATAATATGGGTTTTTGAGGTTTTGAGGTCTTTGCGGCTTAATTTGCGGCTTTGCGGCTTTGCGTGAGGTGGGGATTGGGGATGGGGATTGGGGATGGGGATGATCGGATCTGGAAATATCAGATATCATATATATGACGAGGTATGTATCATACGTAGGGTATGTGCTGTATGTATTTGAAGCAGCTGAAACCTAAGATGATTTAAGCTTGCTTTGCCACTGCCACTTTTTCTTCAGCCTTGAGATATTGATTGGGGGTTACGACGTTGAAAGATCTTATTTGTTGGGTTTGTTTGAATTGGATTGGATTGTTTGATTGGATTTAATACGAGTAGGGTTAAGAAATCTAAATATATTATAGTATAGTATAGCTTCTTGCCATTATTTTATTTCATATACTTATTTCGCATGACGCGGAGGTTGGTTTACACTGAATCTCAAAACCTAACCTAATCCAACCTTAATCGAATACAACTACAACTCCATTTCATGGCATAACATACAACAACCGAAACCATATAACACATCCACATCCACATCCACCCCGCATCCCCTCCCCTCCCCACTCCATCACACATACACATACCCCCATCCTATCCCACCCCACCCCCGCTCATCTTATCTTATATCTTATCGTATCCTATCCTATCTTATCTTATCTTATCTTATCTTATCTTATCTCATATCATATCATATCCCCATGATTATATATATGACTTAATTATACTCAGTATATTCGGAATCAGAATCAGAGGCGGAAAAGAGAACCGACAAAGGAAAAGCAAAAGATATGATTCGAGGATCGAGAACCGAGTTCGGATACCGGGTTTATATATATGAAGGGGATGATCCGAGGTTCAGTTCGGTCAGTAGATAAGTTTTGAATCAAAAGATTTAAAATCACCTACTTGTACTAGTACTCAGGAACTTGAAAGCAGGAGATGGAAGAATATATTTCCTGTTTAGTTAATTGGTTTTTCAGTTAGATATTTATTCCGGAATAATTATTGAACATCTATTTATCTATTATTTATTTTATCTTCAAGTTATTTTATTTTCCATTTTAACTTATTCATTCATTCTAGATCTCATCCGAGTCTCCAAAAGAAACCCTATCCATCCATCATATACTCGAGTACTCACTCACACTCACTTACCACTGGCAAAAAAACAGAAATTTCCCATTTTCCCCCTCCTTCCCCCCTTTCGATTTGAAACCTTCGAAGCCGAAAACCCGAGAAGCCGTTCTATCCATGGAATTCTCCATCCCCCGCATTTCTCTTCTCTTTCTATTCAAGTATTCCATTGTTCGATTCATTCATTCATTCATTTCATTCTAGAAATTCTATATCTCAGATGAGATCTTTAGGTCCCTTTCTCTTCCTATCTTTGTACTCACTTGTAGATAAACAAAGAGAAATAAAGAGAAATCTATAAAGAGGAGTGCAAGGAAGAATAGATGGAAGAAGGAAGAGAAGAGAAGAGAATCATATGATGTATAATTCATACGCATCTATTTCTATCTTTATCTTTTATCTTTGTTTTCAAGGGTCAATCAAGGGTCAATCAAAGAGAGTTAAGGGTTGTTGATCTGTTACTTGATCAATTTGATTGGTTGATTAATCAATAATTTTATTTGTTTATTTACATGAATTTCAAATCCATGATTCTTATTCGTGCGCATCGCATCGCATCGCATCGCATCACATCGCATCACATTCTATCACATAAGAG